TTTTTTTTTTTTTTTGGTTTTTTGAGACAGGGTTTCTCTGTGTAGCTTTGCGCCTTTCCTAGATCTCACTCTGTAGACCAGGCTGGCCTCGAACTCACAAAGATCCTCCTGTCTCTGCCTCCCGAGTGCTGGGATTAAAGGTGTACGCCACCACCGCCCAGCTTGGTAATGCTCATTTTATTTCTCACCTCCAAAGCATAGCTCAGGGATTTTGAATGCTTTCAGCAGTTTCAAGGAAGAATTGTACTTTTACTGTAATTTTTAAAATCCGGGTCTAGGGATGTAACTAGTCTGGCAGAGTATTTGCCTAGGAGCACAAGGCCCTGGGTTCCATCCAAGTACTTATAAACCAGGCATTGTGGCACATGCCTAGAATCCTTCTGTAGTGCTAAGGACGTCTTGGTGCGACTACTCCACCCAGCTGGTAGCACAGCCCTGTCGAGACCCTGATGACAGACTTGCTCTGTGTTCTGCTTTTTATTGCCATTCGCATTCAAATCTTCCAGGATACTCTGTATTTGGACCTGTAGTTATTATCATGAGGTGTGGGAAACTGGGGTCAGTCTATGAAACACATCATTGGGCTGTTTCATGTCTGTGCAAGTACTATAGTGTGCTTATGCAAATAGATACGATACAGGCTGCTGCTGCTAGGCTGTACTGTGCATGTGTATGTGTAGCAAATGCAAAAAATGAATAATGTAGTCAGCGTCCAGGATTGTGTAATGTGCAGTTGTATGTGCTGTGCTTTTATGGAACTATCAGCACATTTGTTCACACCAGCAGCACCACAGCATGTAATGTGTTTCAGTGTGGCATGACAGCTAGTGTCACTGTGCCTTAGGGATGGACCAGCACTTAACCCAGTGATGTAAAGGGGGCATCACCTCTGTAATCTCTGTGGCTTTGGATACTGACTTAGGTGGAGCTTCTGGTTCAGGTACTGAAGCAGGTCCTGAGTCACCACTGTGCCACCCTTCACATGTGTTACAGAACTTTCTTTTTAGTGTTTCTCTTTCATTCATTCATTTTATTTCACCTTACATTCTGTCCTAAGGATCAAACTTCGGGCCCACTGCATGCTGAAGACTTTCTGCCGCTCAGACACCTCTAGCCTGGGCTGCATTACTTAAGGGGAAGTAAATGCTTTTTTGGTTTTGTTTTTCAGGAATGAAGTCAATGAAATAATTCTTATCCTGGTGAAGGTAAAAGCTTTGAATCAAGCTGAATCCCTCACAGAAAAGCATCACCTGGAGCCCTCCACACACCCAGTTACAGGTGTTTGAGTGCACTATGGGAGGTGTTGAGAGTCATTGATAAAGTACTCAGTTCCTTGCTTGTACACAGCTGGTGCCCCCTCACTTCCTCTGTGCTCACCCTTGGTGTCCTGAAAGGCTGTCCTTCCTGTCGCTGTGTGGCTGAGGACGTTACATCACAACAGCTGTCGCTCTGTCTCAGTCTGAGAAGGAATTGAAGAAATCCAATACACAGAAGCATGTCCAGAGTCAAGTCCATCTTCAGCTTTGGCATTCTTAAAATTCCCACTGTTTACAAATCAGCTAATGAGGACATCTTGAGTGAATTGCTTAATTATGAAATGGTTAACACATTTTTTATAACAAATTGTCCTTCCAAAGTCTGCACTGGTTGATTATGTGAAATCAGTGAAAGAGTGCCAGTGAGTCTCCAGATTTGTGATTCACTGTTAATTTGTTAAGAAATCTTTTAAAAATGATTTCTTTTTCTATGTGTGATCCTCTATACACCTGGGTGATTATATGTACACCACTTCCATGCAGAGACCAGCAAAAGCCAGAGGGCATCAGATCCCCTAGAACCAGAGTTCCAAGAGGTTTTGGGCCACCTGATGTACATGATAGGAACCAAACCCATGTCCTGAGGAAGAGATCTTAGCCACTGATCATTCCTCCAGCCACTGTTGAAGAATGAAGATGTATTGATTTGGGCCATTTGTAATTCTTTTTGAACCATCTTTTTCTAGAGGATTGTAATACTTTCATATTAAAAATAATATTGATCTTTTGCCTGCCCTCTGGCAAATAATTTATCAAAAAACTTACCATTTTTCTTTTAATTTTGTGTAAGATTTTTTTGATAGTGAAGTCATCACTTGGTAGCAAGTCAGGCTTTTTTGTTATGTTTTGTATCATTCATGATAAGATTAAGAAGGCCACTGCTATTTTACATACAGGAAGTGTACAGTATTTGATTAAGGAAGTCTGAGGCAAGATAGTTAAGAAATTAGGAATTTTTCTCAAAATGATTGTATTAGTGTTCTTAAGTCTGTTAAACAACTCAATGATGACCCCATGTATATATTTTGCAAATTATTGCCCAAAAGACAGTTGGAAATGTTGGTTATTTTGTAATATTTGACTCTGTGGCCTATGTTTACATACTTGAAAGCCCCATTTTCAAGACTGCATGTAATGTGAACAGCTGACATGTTGTAATCACTGTAGCAGTGAAAGCTTATGGATCTCTAGGTGAAGATGCTAAAACTGTTACAGACTGTACAGACAGAATCCCACATAGAAAGCTCAAACATTGCTGAATCCTCAGAGAATTCATGTTAATGTTGTCATTTTAGACAGCTGCTTATTACAAAAGCATGTGTATATGTGTACAGAAAATTTGTTTTTGTATATAAATGGCAGAGACTTTTATTACAGATGAATTTTCTATTTTTTTACTGTTCAAGTGCATTTTTGGAAGCTGTTCTCTGGCTCTGGGTTTTTTAGATAGACATGGATGGATATGCACTCATTCGTCTACCCTGGGTAGACACCGCTGTGATGTGCTAGCCCTGCATCATTAGAGAGTGCTTGGGCCTGCCTCCTAGTCCTGTGAAATGGTTCACTGACGACCCAGCACAGCAGTCACCTGGTGACTCATCTCACAGACTCAGTGAGGCTATGTCAGAAAACTTTCATTCTTCATCTGTGCTGGTTTCCTTTGCTTTATTCTTTTTGGAGACTAGGTTTCATTCTGAAGTGTAAGTGACTTTGATCTTGGGACACCTGCAAGCCCTAGGATTGCAGACCTGTGTCACCACACCTGGCAAGAAAAACTTTAAAAGGGCCTAAATGTAGAGAGATAGACCATGTTCATGAATTAAAAACTAATTTGGGGTAGTTTTTATTCTCCTTACACTGACTCATAAATTTAATGTCAACACTCAGAGGTTCAGGAAATAATCATACAGGTGAACAACCTAGGGCCACGTTACTCAGTGGGGGATCCCCAGACCAGTATTGACAGAACTAGATGAATGAGCCTTAGTTCCATCTGCCCACCCACAACACCCAAACAGAAACAGTTGTAGAACAGAGACTCAGGAAAATCAGAGGAGGAGACCTGTGCCTCAGAGGCAAAGACCAGAAAATCTCAGCAGAGTTTGGTTCCCTGCACCTATACCATGCGGTTCACAACCACCTGGAACTCCAGATCCAGAGGGTCTGATACACGGTCACACATGTATACACTTAAAGAAGGAACAGGTACTGGGTATCTAAACTCCAAATAATGGTTCCAGGAAGACAAGACGAGGAGAGAAAATCAGCAACAAGTGCCAAGTTTCCCAGAACATCAGTCACTGCATTGAAAGGCTCACCCCAAAATGTGGATACAAATATTCCTGCACCAAGGCACAACACCGATTTCATTACGTGAAGACTAAAACTACACACTTTCAAGTCATACACAGGGAGCAGAAACCAGAATGACTGTTTCCCAGCATGGCACTAAAACACTATTACCAGTACAACTTAACGAGGAAACTCAAAAACAGAGTGATAGTACAGGTCAGACAGTCTCTCTCAAGAGTACATGGGCCGCATGAGTGAGAGATCTCAGGAGCATAAGCGGCATGCCCTTACGCCATGGAGGTCAGTGCACACGCACATCTTCCCTGGAAGCTAGTAATGTTCCATCTAAAGGAGTTAGCCAGGAAAATGAAAACAAGGACTGCACAAAGTGCTCAACAGAAAACCAGCCCGAGCGAGGCAAAGGCTCCAGGGGCAGGTCGGGCACTGAGAGACTCACTGATGGAGGCACCACGATCCGGGCTGGCTCTTGGGATATCACAGGTGGGATAGCCTTTACTCTGTGATGCATCCCAGCTTCCCAACCCATGCTCAGCTGCATGGATCACCAAGTACACTCCTGTCCCCACAGAGGGCTGTTTTGACCCCCAAAAGGCTTTGTTTCATGCACAAAGTGAAAAAAATACGCTCTCTGACCACTTCCTGCTGGACAGCTCATCACCCAGTCCATACTGTGGGCTGCCAGGTGCCCTGGGGTGTCTTCTGTTGAGCAGAATCCCCTCATAACTGAGGGGAAAATGAAACCAGATGACAGCTCAGACTGCCACATTCTCCTTGAAACTTTCACAGCAAAACAGTGCCCTTGTCTACCTGCTAATGAGCCTGTCAAAACAAGACATTTAACACTGCATAAGGCCAGAGAAATAGCTAGTGATGAAGAGTACACACTGTTCTTCCAGAGGACTTGACTTCAGCTCTCAGCACCCATGTCAGGTGGGTCATAAGCAGCTGTGACTCCAGATCCAGAGAATCTGACACCGTCTGGTCTCTGGACACACGTGTACAGAACTGGGTGCTGGGAAATGGACTCAGGTCCTCTGCAAGAACAGCAAGTGCGCTTAACTACTGACCCAGCCCCTACTACTACACTTTAACTCACACACACATTGTTGTGTATTTATGATTATTTCCCAATTTACTCCCCTTGCTCACATCCCACTTCATCTCATTTTGGTGATGCGGACTCCACTGGCTCCAGATAGGGAATGAATGTTGGGCGATTTCTCTTGTTAGAGCCATAAACTGCTGTGCAGACCTTATGCTAGGTATGATAAGGTGAGGACTACCATCTCATTTAATAGCTGTGCTCTTACAAAGCAAACTTAATGGCTGAGCTAATATATCTGCAATTAAAGGCATCCTCAGAACAAGGGCTTAAAAGAAAAAAAATATTTTTATGTATGTGTATGAGTTGGGGTCCACACAGGCTACGGTGTGCATGTAGAAGGCCAAGGACAACTTTCAGGAGTCAGTTCTCTCCCTTTGCACCCCGGGTTCCAGAGTTGAACTCGTCAGGCCTGAGCAGCAAGCATGTTTACCTGCTAGGCCATCTCACCAGTCCCAAGATCAAGACTTCTTGGATGCTTCTATTTCTTCCCACAAGGCAGCTTCAATCTTTGAAGTGTCATATTCTCTCATCATATCAAATTCAAGCCATGGCTGGCTCCACTTCTGGGCTTCTTTCATTTGCTCTTCGGTTAAAGCAAGATCAAACCTGATCCCTTTTATGTTGAAGTACGGACGTTCCCAGCGTTTGGACCACGGCTTTGGCTTCATTTTCACTTGCAGCTAAGGAAGACAAGAACAGAATTTGGGCTGGTGAGATGCACACAAAAGTTGCCCAGAGTTTTCTGCAGGGTGCTTCTTCAGACTTGCACCTAAACAAGTGGACTTGGTAACATGGTCTACCTTGTTAACAGGCACTTCCTGGCAGGCCTCATGTGGGACCGGCTTCATATTAACATCAAAGGTGCTGAACTCAGGGAGGGCGTCTCGTAAATACAGCAGGCTATCATCCAGCCGCTTCTCTAACTTCACCACTTGGATCTCATGGATGCGAGGATTATAGAGTTCAAAGCAAATCTCCACACCTAAACAGAGAACATGCTTACCACCTAAGACCAGACTCCTGCAATACTTCACAGTACAGTAAAAGAAGAAGCTGGCAAGTGGGACATGAGCAAACACATGGAATTTCTAAAGATGAAGACCACTAAAGCAAAACAAACTAAACCCCATTTAAATTAAAAAGTGAAAAAAATTGAAAGATGTCCTATCAGAAGTCTATAAATATCCCATCTCTTCAACTATGACAACATCCATTAGCCTGGGAAGAGGAAGCCTCCACATAGGAACTGTGGTGATCAGAATGGCCTGTAGATATGTCTGTGGGGCACTGTCTTGACAACCAGTTGATAGATGAGGGCCTAGTCCCCCATGGGAGGTACATCCCTGGGCAGGTGGTCCTAGGCTGTGTGAAGAGTTGGCTAATCATGAGCCTGTGAATAAATGCCATTCTTCCATGGTTTCTGTCTCACTTCTACGTTCTGACTGGAACGTGTAAGCGAAATCAACTCTCCTCCCCTAAGTTGCTTTTGGACAGAGTGTACTGTGACAGCCAGAGACTAAACTAACACACCAGGGAAGAGCCCTCTTGGCACAAACACAGTAACTTGGTGAGGAAGACATGGTTTTGAATGTGATCCCTCCAAAATTCACCTTGAAGGCCTGCCTCGTAGTAGCAGTTCCTCTGCAAACGTCACGGATGAGAACCCTGAAGTGCACTTGTAAGTCTAAATACTCTCTCACTCGCCATTTCAGTTCTTCATCTTCTAGGACGTTACTTCTGTTCCGCTCCGGTGTTAGTCATGGCACGGACCTGGAGCCACGGTGCAGCAGTGACTGCAGTGAAGCCACGGTGCAGCAGTGACTGCAGCGACTGACTGTGTCATGACACAGCAGAGCAGAAGCCTTCATCCTAGAAGCCACGCTCCCAAGGATACCATCCTATCTGTCCCAGTGGACTTCGGGGTTATTTGCTCAGAAAAGGACGACCCCACTAAACTGAAGGCTCACACCTCTAATCCTCTAATCACAGCACTGAGGAGACAGGGACTGGAGGATTGCTTCAAGTGTGTGGTCAACAGGCTCTATATAGCAAGATCCTGCACATTCATGGCCTACATGGAAAGACCCTGTCTCAAAACCACGACTAATAAAACAAATGGAATCTCCCCTCACAGCTTTATACACTGTCTCTACTCTTGAAGATGCCATGTTTATTTAGGCAGAGTGTCACTATGTAGTCCAACCTGGTTTTGAACTAAAAAAAAAAAAATCCTCCTGCCTCAGCATATCCTTGTGCTAGACTAACAGGTATATGCTGCCATGCCCAGCCCAGGAAGTCCAATCCCAATGGGTATTGCCCATATAATAAAAGAAGCTTTCAAAAGAAAGTGGACCCTCCAACGGTACATTAACCAGTGAATAGCAATCTCTATCCACTGCAAAGCACGGGTTATCTCTTGGGGAAAACCCACTTTCACATTCTGGAAGCACAAGAGGAAACATACCTTGTCCTTCAATCGTGTTCCTAAGAGTGAAAGTAGCCCCAAGTCCTTTTCCAGATCGCTGGATGCAGATCCCCAGGAACTGGCTGGTTTTCCCACTGGCATATGGGTCGGCTGTGGTGACCCGCAGTATGCTTCCTACAGAGTCAGAAGAGAAGCAAGCTCTGACATGAGATGCAGGAATGAACAATACAGTTTAGAACTTAGTATGTTAGAAATAAATAACGAATGGCAAAACCCAGACACCTGGAGAATAATCTTTATGCAAAAAAAAAAAAAAAAATCTTTATGCTGGAATTAGAAAATATCATCCTAAGTGAGGTAACCCAAACCTAGAAGGTCAAACATGGTATGTACTCACTCATAAGCGGATACTAGAGATAAAGCAAAGAACAATCAGACTGCAACCCACAGAACCAGGGAAGCTACATAGCAGGAAGGACCCTATGATGACTGTGGCTTATAATAAGTTTTGGTTTTACTCAATTACTAGGCAAGCCTCAATGAAACATTTCACTATTAAGATAAGAATTAATTAATTAATTAAAAAAAGAATCTTTGTGCAATCCAATACCTGCTGACAGACACCCTGCTTTTACTCACCAACATAGAACTCCGGAATGTCAAGCACCTTCCTCCTGTCCAGCATATCTTTTCTTTCTAGCTGATATTTCAGAGGTTTTGTTCTTCCCCTTGGAGGAATAAATTCAGGACTCAGGAACCTATAAAGAAAGAAATTTTAAAAATTAAAAGGTAATTTGAGAAATGAAAGGGTATAATGTTGATGTATTTCATCCTTTAAATAAGGGATCATGTCATTTCTAAACTACTGTTTCCAGAACCACTGTTAATGCTCATGAGAACTGTCAGCTCTGCTGAGCACTCACCAGGCATTTTGTTTAAAAGCTTATAAAACATCTAAGTGGCACTTACAGTCTGGACCTTAACTGTCTAAGAAGGCACATATACTGGGAGTTTAGCTGTCAGCCTGTGCAGCTGCTAGGGGTTAGGAAGCTGTAAGAACTGCGGCCCAGTACAGAAAACATGTCACTGGGCCTGTACCTTGAAGGGAAGACTGAGACCCGGACCCTTTCCATTTCTTCGTTTGCTTTACCTAGATGATACTTCCCGCCATGCTGTGTCACTACAGGGCCAAAGTGACAGGACCAGGGCCAAGCAAAGTTAACTAAATCTGTTGGAACCCCGAGCCAAAGTGACAGCTCCCTTTCAGCTGATTATCTCAGTAGCATAAATTAATCTTCAGAGAAATGAGGTGGTTTTGCTGTCATCTTTGTATTAAAAACAATAGGGTTAGGCGGTGGTGGCACACGCCTTTAATCCCAGCACTCAGGAGGCAGAGCCAGGCGGATCTCTGTGAGTTCAAGGCCAGGCTGGTCTACAGAGCAAGATCCAGGACAGGCACCAAAGCTACACAGAGAAACCCTGTCTCAAGGGAAAAAAAAAAAACCTGAAGCTTAAGGATGATGAACCACTAACACATTACTATTGCTATTAGTTATAACTTTGTTACAGTTTAAACACTGTGTGCCTCTCAGTCTGCAGAGCCTATGACCACAGGTCTCCCACTGAGCTATAAATACAGAGAAAATATATAAAAATCACCAATTGCAAACTGACTTTAAAAGAAACCTTCCACCAAGTGTGGTGGTGCCCACCTATGATCCTAATACTCAGTAGGCAGTAGCAGGCAGATCTCAGTAAGCTCAAGGCTAGCCTGGACTACATAGACACACACCCATATATATATATCATTATTGTGTACTGGGGATGAGATGCATACCATTGCATCCATGTAAGGGTCTGAAGACAGATTTTGGAGTAGAGTCTTTCCTTCCACTGTGGGTTCTAGGGGTAGACCTGAGTGGACAGGCTTGCACTGGAGACTCCTTTACCATTGCCAGTCCCATACTGTTAGCTTCTGAAGATTTACCTTTTTTTTTTTTTTTTTAATGTGTATGAGTGTTTGCCTGCATGTATGTATGTGCATCATATGCATGGCCTGGTTTCCTCAAAGACCAAAAAGAGCATGGTGGATCCACTAGAGCTGGAATTGCAGATGGTTGTGAGCCACTCTGAGGAAGGGCCTTTTGTTCTTAACGGCTAGCCATCTCTCCAGCTTTTAAAAGATTATTTTCCCACCTCAATGAGGTAAAGTGGTCATAGGAAAATACTTTTTTCTAAATCATTAGCTTTCCTAAGTCCAAGCCGATTTCAATTTAGAACTACAGGATATGTGAAATATTTAAGCCCAGAGACAATCCACTCAGCCAGCTACACCCCTTTTTAAGGAGCCTATAATCGCACCAAGTTTTTCCCATGAAAACTCAGGTTTGTTATGGTTGTGAGCGTTCCGAAACCGGCTCAAGCCAATGTAAACCTAGGTGGCTTAGAAACCACCGCGGTGAGCGTTGGTCAACAGACTCTACCCAGGAGGGTTTGGGGAGGTCAGATCAAGTCAAGCACGTTCCCAGGTGCAACTACGGAGAACAGTTAAGAACAAATAAAACTGAGGAATGGGCGTCCAAGCCTCCGTCCTTTGGGATCTGGAGAGGAGCAGACGCAGAATTCGAGTATGTGCAGGCCAGCTGCAAGGTAAGCAGGTATCCAGGCGCGCGAACACCCAAGCAGCTCCAGGAGCTACAGGCGCCCGAGCATGCGCACACCCACGAGGCCTTGGCCGCCTCACCTTCTCTGTTTGTCCGGGGCTCGGTGCCGGTCCACCATGACAGGTTTCGGAGGTGGCTTAAACCCACCGGGATCGGAAGGCCCGGTGCTCTGAAGCCGGCTGGAGCCCATGCGGACACAGCAGGCATCAGACGCGAGTCCAGCGAGCCGCGGCCTGGCCATTCGGAAGCTCCGGGCCAGGTTCAGGGACACACTACAGCCTTCTGCCATGGAGGCCGCCATGTCTACACGCGCAGTGCAGGACTACAGCTCCCAGAAGTCAGTGCGACGAGGTGTGGTCAGACGGTGGCTCCTATGGGACCAAACCCGCTTCCCTGTGGACTCCCACTAGTTTGAAGGAACTATATTGGCAAAGTATGTAAGTTCCTCTTCTCCGTCATTCGCAAAGTTACACTCCTCCAAACGGCAGGCAACCTTGTATTTTCCACTAAGTACTGTGACCTCATTTGCACAGCGAGTGAGTGTGGAATGTGTGTGTATGTGTATGTCCTGAATGTGAATGTGATTGCAGATGCCCATGGAGGCCAGGTGCTTCCCTGGAGCACGAGTTAGAGGCAGTAACAAGGTACCCCAAATAGGTGCTGAGAATCGAACCTGAGTCCTCTAAAAGATCAGTAAGTGTTCCTAACTGCTGGACCACCTCTCTAGCCTCCTCATTTCCACTTTTTATTTGCTTGTGCCTACATGAAAAAAATACAGATGTCACCCCAAAGGGAGTAAGAGATAGTTTATTCTGGAGTCAAGTATTAGTGACCATGGCTCAGGAACACAGATGTAAGTCACCATAAATTTATGTTCTAATGGGGCAGCAACTTCATGAAGTTTTCATAATATCAGAGCAAAGAAAGCCATAAAACACTCCTTAAATAATACATTGGTGAGTTCATCAATTTAGATGTGCTATGACGAAGTGGAAAAGACTCCACTATAGTCCTCAGATGCTAACTGTTGGTGTTTTTAGCCTTTGTGTTGATAGAATTGAGGGGTTTCCAATGAATTTACCTAATAGCCACAAGGCTGTCGGTTCACAAACAAGTTGGTAATAAATGACCATTTGAGGGACTAACAGCCCAAGATAGTTTGGCTCTGGGTCTGCAACAGCCTAATGTCTCCAGTTCTAATCAGTTCATCCGACTTGTAAAGGTTGTTTGGAATTTTTGATTCCTCTCTTGTATAATTATTCTATTAGTATTTAGTTCTTCTATTATGCATTCCATGGAGAAGAATGTATCTTCTTTTGCTTGCATTCTGCCTTACTACCCAGCATCACCTGGCTCTCACTGACTCCAAACAGAATAATACGTTCTGGCTGGTTATGTCAACTTGACACAAGCTAGGTCATCTGTGAGGAGGGAACCTCGACTGAGAAAATGCCTACATAAGACGGGTCTGTAGGCAAGCCTGTTGGGCATTTTCTTAAGTATTGATTCATGGGGACCCAGCCCATTATGGGTGGTATCTCCCTGGGCAACACACACACACACACACACACACACACACACACACACACACACACACACACACACACACACCATTAAAAATAATGCACAAAGTCTCTTCACTGTGAGCTCATATAAAAAGGTCCTCTGTGAGCAGGGATCTCTCCACCTCCACAGCGCATCTCTCCATTCCCTCTGGCACCACACACTGCAGCTTCTTCAGTCTGCAGGTTCTCCATGTAACTTCCCTGAGTTACCAGTCCAACACAGTCTGGTGGCAAGGGCAGGAAGAAGGGCTTCCATCCTTGCATCTCCACTTTATGTAATAACTGTATTCTGGTTTTACAATGGAAAAGCAATCCCCAGAGTTTTAAAAACATTAATGCACAGACTAGGTATTCTTTTTTCCTTTTTACAGTTTTCTCCTCAAAACAAAAAGTAGTGTTGGTCTCTATTAGACTAGTCTCTACAATGACAGAAAATGGCAAGGGTGACTCACCACCCCCCTGAAAAAAAGAAAAAGAAAAAACCAGAGCAATATGTCTATGATGATTAGGAGATGAGATAATATGATGTATAAAAATGTTCATCCAAATGTCTGGAAGGGAAAGATTGTTTCACTTCGAAAGGCTGCAGCCTCTGAAAGCTTGAGATCAACAGCAGTGGTGGGCTGGCCTCTGTTGGAAGTCGACCACACAGCAAGGCTGAGCCCTGGAAATCCAGTCCAGCTTGTTAAATAGTCCCTTTAGTGGGTGTGTTTGGTACCCCTGTGTGCATGTGCTCATCAGTGTGTGTGTGTGTATGTGTGTGTGTGTGTGTGTGTG